TTTTTTTTCGGTGATTTAACTTGCAAATTTTCTTTAGAAATCGTCTCAATCAGAATGTCATTAAAAACGTACAGAAACCTCTTGGTTAATACCATGGAAGAATATAGAGAGTGTAAAACAAACACGATACTATTGTTATAATATATTATTGCGATTCGACAATTTTCTTGTCATTTCTAATACATCGATAAATGATTCCGCAGATAACAAAGACCCTCGAGTTGCTATCCAATCCTCGGCTCCATAATCTATAGACCAGAGTTCTAGCAGCAGTTCTCCTATCAGACTGGGATCTGTGTAGGGAGAAACCATTAGCGCGGTAGGGTTGATTTACTCTAGCAGATCTAGAGATTGCGGGGTCACGCCAGAGTCTGAGGAACTTGTTATGTCCCCGTCTCTTGATCTTACTTCTTCTGCAGGAATCCGGGGAAGAAAAGGAGTCGTGCCGCAAGATAATTTAAATTTAGAAAAAGCACTACTATCGGACTGAGGTAAGGTCTGGTAACAGGATTTGTGAGTCTCAAACAAGGAATGTTCTATTTGAAACAACCAACTAATATAAATGAAGAAAGTAAAACATGAACAAATTTTATAAAACCTGCCGCGCGCAACACATAACTTTCACTTACCTCTCTAATTTGAATGGAAATTAATTTTCTGGCAATGTTGGGCTATTATAAAATTTTTGAAGTGCGTTTTAAACGGAGGTAAAGCTTGAAGCTAACAGATAACAAATCATTAAGACCATTAAAATTACAAACAGTCTATTTATTATATCGATAGTAGGCAATAAAAACATAGTTTTATAAACCACATAACGTCAGTCTCTGCGCCTTTCTGCTGACAGAATGACTAACATTTCTATTTTAGTGATATTTCTAGTTGGAAAAGTTATATCTATACAGACAGTGAGTAAGTTGATTCCAGGATAGGTGATTGCAGTGTTGAAATATAGAACTGTGAATAAAGGTATAAATTTTACCAATAGAAACATCACTAAAATTAATAATAAAAAATGATGAATTTGGAGTCATTCTGTAATCCGAAAGGCTCATATATGCCTAGAGAGATTTGAAAGTACATCTGAATATTTAAGCTATAAATGATTATTGATTGTAGGATTATTAGTTATTAAACTGTTATTTTCCATTCTAAAGTTAAATAAATTGAAATTACAAGATTTTCATTCCCTGTTTGATTTTTTGGAATAAACGGCCGATAGATACCTAATTATTTAAATATAATATCTTACCTGAAGTTATTATATCAACGGTTGATACGATAATACGATCCGTTGATTATGGATTGTAGGACTATTAGTTATTTTCCACTGCAAAGCTTACTGAAATGGAACAATGATATTTGCATTACCTGTAATGGATATGACAAAAGTTGTCTCACTAATTGGATAATGTAGGGATTTCACAAAGGGAAAATTCATTAAATTATTCACTAATTTAATTTTCTAAAAGGATACTTGATAATTTTTCGAAATTAACCGCCGATATATACCTAATTACTTAAATACAATATCATATCTAGAGTTATTAATCTACAGTAAATGTATTTATGGTTATAAACATATCCATGAAATATTATTGTATTTCATTCCTTCTTTCATACAAGTACAATGAAATAGTATTTTAAACAATCTCATGGCCTTGATACGGTTGATTTTAAATATTTATTTTTCAAACTTAATTTTAAAGCATACATTTAGTAAGAAAATTTCATTTAAGTGAAGTGCGAAGTATAAAGTGAGTCGTACAGAACTGCAACTAGACTGAGGTCGAAGTATATGGTGTAGGTTCCTATGTTCAAAGTAGTGTGTTTAAAATTTAGAAATTTATTTATTTTTAAACATAATAGAACAGTTATTAAATACTTGTAGCCATATTTGTAGTGCATAAATTAAGAATGAAGAATTTCACAAGTAGAGGTATTTTTTTTATTAAATAATTTGAACAGCAGTTTATGTTTAAATTCAGTGTAAATAGTCCACTGCTTTCTTAAATATTTGATAGGTACGATTTATTGGTGTAGTTAAACTTTTGATATATCGCAAAACTGTTATGATAATTGAAAACTTCATCTGTACGGAGCTAGAACTACACTTGGAAGTACCACGTTCCATTTGGCAAAGCCACATGGTGTTAAAAGTTCAAATTAATCGAATTAAATTTAAAAAAATTTATTTATTGTCTTACACAGGACAATTGTTTAACATCTACTTTCAAGATTCTACATACATATATAAAAGTAATTTAGCAATTTAATAAGCTTATTTTATTTAGTGCTTATCCAAAATTTTAAAATGTATCATATTTTTAAACTATCAGTAAAACATTTAAATTCCTTTCTCAAAAAGTTTAAAATGATGATTTATTTGTAGATGCAGTTTTACTTCAGACATATAGAAAAAATAAAATAAGTAGAAAGATGTGCATGGGTACAAACCTGCACCTTCTGTAAATACTAACAGAAGTAAATGAAGTTGGAATTTTATGTTTTAAGTAGACAGTATAGAAAAATAAAAAAATTTAATTATTTTCTTCTCCGTCATGGACAATTGTTAATAATTTATATACATACTTGAAGTTATACAGGTTTATATATTTATACAAGAATTGGTTATTCGTACTGTCAATAATAATTAAAAATAAATAATAATTTATCAGGAATTTTTATCAGTACCTTATTTCTAAAGGCATAGAAACATTTGGGTTTCTTTCTCAGACCATTCAAACGTAGTAATTCATTAGGAGTTGTAACGAATAATAAATAAATTTCATTTTAACGAAATGCATTGGTTTATAGCTGACTATCATGTGAGGGCGAAGTACAATTTTCGAACTTGCACAGACACGTACGGTCCAATGTTTAAACAACGATTTCTTAGAGAATATTTCAATTTGCATTTATTCTCTCTTCTAATAAATCATAGAAGGATTGTTAAATATTCATGTACATTCTATTAGTTTTATAATTTCATTCACTGAGGTATGGTAAATTTAAGAATAAACATCTATTAAATTCGTCATTACCTTGTTTTGTAATAACTGAGTATGTAATGTAATATTTTCTCAAAGATTTGTAAATTATTATATTCTTATCAACAGTAATATACTTCAGTTATATCTAAATTATTATGATTGTCACGAAACGCAACGATACACAGCTGACACTAGAATGAGGTGGCGATGCAGTATGCCAGTCTTACCACCCTTCGATAATAAATACTAGTATAATACTTTTTTTTAAATATCGTAAATCCTTGTACCCATGCTCCTAAAAAAATTGTAGAACTGCGTATAAATTGCATGTTTAAAGATTTTTAAGAATAAAATTAGTCAAGAATATGAAATAAACTCAAATTAGTGCAACCGTCGATGTCATATCCATGAATAAAATGATCCGAGAATATTAGTACTTGTAAGATAGTAAAAGTACAATAATTTTAAAAGGTTTATAATTTTAATAATACATGGGGCAAGATCCTTAATTCAGCGCTGAACTCATCGTTCTAAAAGAAGAACTCATCTCGATAAGAAATCATTAATGAGTTCAGCGCTCAGTTTAGGAAATTCATCATATTTATACACATACATGTTTCCCCATTAATTTCTTTTTGACGTTTCAAAAAAAAAAAAAAAATGATTTTTTTTTTTAAAGGTAAGAATCAAGTTTACCAAAACAAAATATGCATGGAAGTATATTTGTTTTCAGAAGATATTGAACGAATCTCTTTAAACGCCGACTAAGACCAAATAAACTTTTTTAAAATTCAGACACTGTGCTGCTATGTGATGGAAACGAGTTGTAGTCCGGTTTCAGTAGATAATTATTTATACTGAATAAAAAAGTTTGCTACGCTCAACACACAACTTACCGCAACTATAAAAACCATAAACTTACCGCACTAGTTTGAATAGAAATTATTTTCTACCAATGTTGGGCTAGTATAAAATTTACAGATAACAAATTATAAAGACCATTAAAATCAATAAAACTCTATTTATTATATTAAGGGTAGGCAATAAAAATCTAGTTACTCCATCTGCTTTTATAAACCACATAACTTCAGTATCTGAGCCTTTCAGTTGACAGAATGACTATCTCCAAACGTTTTTGAGTAATGCCATTTTAGTGATATTTCTTGTTGGAAAAGTTACATCTATACAGACAGAGAGTAAGTTGATTCCAGAGATGGAGATTGCTGTGTTGACATATAGGACCGAATAAAGGTAAAAATTTGCCACTAGAAACATCAATAATATTAATAATAAAGAATGTTGAAATTGGAGTTATTCATTTTGTCAACTGAAAGGCTCATACTTGCCTAGAGAGATTTGAAAGTACATCTGAATATTTAAACTATAAATGATTATGGATTGTAGGATTATTTGTTATTTTCCATAATATAGTTTACTAAAATGAAATTACGAGATTTGCATTGCCTGCCATGGATAGGTCAAAAGTTGTCACACTAATGGGATATTGTTGGGATTTCACAATGGGAAAATTCATCAAATTATTCACTAATTTAATTTTTGAAAAGGTTACTTGATAATTTTTTTGGAATAAAGCCGACTATACCTAATTATTGAAATATCATATCTAGAGTTATTAAACTACAGTAAATGTGATTAAGGTCATAAACGTATCCATGAAATATTTTTATATTTCATTCCTTCTTTCACACAAGTACAATGAAATATTCTTTTAAACAATCTCATTGCATTTATTCAGTGGATTTTATATAATTTTTTCAAACTTGAAAGATAAAAGTTTCATCATGTTTATTATTATATCGCATAAAACCCAAGGCCCATAGATGAACTCCCTCTCTCTCCCAAGATGTATTGCCCTTCTTTTATAATGTAGCATCATAAAAATTGTAGACCATGTGCAATAGTAACAACACTTGCTCTGGTCTGGTCCAAGTTTTCCCTCCTTGTTCCCTTGTTTGAAACTTTTCAGTCCAAAAAGTCAAAATCCTATCAAAATATGCCCCTTCAAAAAACTTGATGGAACAACTTGTACCATGAAATCCATTTCTCAGCATCTCTGGATTGCAGAAAACAATATGTAAATAACTGTTATATTAAAACTATGTAAATTTATAGAATTACTATGAGATAGAAAAAACTCTACATGGAAAAATAATAAAAAGTTGTTAGGGGGTTCTTAAGAAGATAAATTATACCAACATATTAAAGAAGAATATATAAATATTTGAATTTCATATAAATTTATTAAATTATTTACAGACTTGGAAAAATGGTCACGCTATTTATTCTATTTTATTCTTATTACTTTTCTTTGTTATTTACAAAATTACCAATCTTAAAACTTTTATCTCTTAAATCTCACACCGCATAATGACTGTATGCTCATTTGAAATTAATTTATCATGCTTGCCAAATGAATATGACAATTTATCAATATGATTTACATAAAATAGATATATAACCCTAAAAGGGGTCATCATAAGGAACCATAATTCCATCATCAGATCATATTTAGAAACAAATGGGCTACTCCATAACTACTGGGCATAGGCAGATCTACTTGGAGAAGGGGTGGGAGGCGGGCTTGTATTCCCCTAAAATGGTTAAATATAACCATGTTTTGTGAAATAAATTATCTCTAAAAGTATTATTGTTTATCTTATTGCATTTAATAGGGCTTGAAAATCACATAAACACCAATTCATATAGTAACTATTTCCGAAATAATTATTGTAATATATACATAAAAAAAATCGTTTGGGCTTCAGCTCTCCCAAAATTAAGTCCTGGATCCGTTAGTGCTACTGGGTTTCACAGTTCCTTAAAGGACATTGGGGGGAGGGAGGAATAGGAAAGGTTCTGTGGCAAACTCCAAGAACATCGATGTTTGCATTAAATGCGGTAAGTTCTAATGAGAGCATACTGAAAACTGCTGAGTATTTTAGAGGTTTTGATGGCCAAGTGTGTTAAACCACAAACTTCAACATTATTGTGCCTAGAGACCATTTGGGAATTTTGAAATTCCTACTCTGGTTACAATAGGATTAGTTGTACCTAATGTAATGTAATGGTGAAGTAGGGGGTTAGCAGCATTTGGGGTTCAAAGTGGTCAAGCTGGCTAAATTTTTATTGAAATTCATGACAATTTTGTTTCATTCATATTAATTTTTTTATTTTTCTATACCTGGTTTTTGGTCTTCCAAGGGTAACTGATAGCATTGATGAATCCTCATTAAGGTGCTACTCTTATTGCTCAAGATCTGCCTAAACAATTGTTTCCAAAGATTCTGAGAACGTGGCATTGTTTACTCAACTCATTTTCCATTCTATTAGATATTTTTCTATAAATTTAAAAATAAGGATAAATGATTCGATCAAGAAATGTCAATTTACTTCTATAAAGGAATATTTATTGTTACAGATATTACACAAACTTAAACCTACTTATAGAAATTGTAACAAACATCTTCAAAGATTGTCTTTATAAAGATCCTCTCATTTTTTACATCAAGATATCTAGCCAGCCAATCAAGGCACCCATTTATATTTATGTATTAATAAAATGTATTATCTATTTTTTTTCATTTTTTCTTAATAATTCTTTTTCATATAAAATTTGTTGTCTTAAAAGGCTGGCTTCTTCCTTTCAACACTAATAATTTCTAATGAAAAAAATAAATCTCTTAGGAATTCTGTTATTAAAGAAATAATTTAGAATATGAAATGAGTTACAACATTGTTTTCCCTAATGAAACAACAAATATTTACATAATACTTAAAATATAATGTTTTTCATATTTACAATAAGAGGTAACAAAAGTAATGGAAGATCTAATTTTAATACAATCAATACTAATTTATTGCCACGAAGTTAGCCTTATGAGATGTGCTCTTATTTTTCTGCACAAAAGGCGCTTTGCCAATAAAATTATCATTCTTATTACCCTGATATATTTTCCTATTAATGTAATACAAAAGTTTGTGAATTCAAATGCTATCTGCCAACTAGAAATTCATAGTCAAATTCAACTTAAATTTTGAGATGGAATGTTCAATAAATTAAAAAGATATCAGCTTGGGTTACACAAAATATTATATTATGTTTTTTTAATTATTATTATAGAAAGATTATATTCATTTTTAATGATTCAATACAAAATATGTCCCATTGGTTTTTGTACTCCTGCTCATTTCGGATGTATATCTCTTGATTCCCTCAATTCTAAATTTTAATTTCTTCAATTTTTATTATCTCTTCATAACAGCTAGGAGTTCAAAAAGATTTTTTTTTTATTATGTTTTCATTTGTGCTCATATACGGCATTGTATTTAACTTGGAAGATAAAAAAGAATATGTGTTTTTATTTTCAAACCATTGGTAGTTTAAGATTTTAAGGAATAAGTGCTATTTTGAAAAGAGAAGGAGTTGCCGACAGCAGTGAGTAGAATATTTAAAAAAGAGGTATTGAAAATTATAAACGTTTTTCCTTATTGATTTCCTTATTGTGATTATGAACACAAATATAAGGAGATTTTTAATAGAAATTGAAAATCACTGATTTGGTAAATAATATTTAAAATCAAGATGAACTACTCTTAACTCAGCATTAATACAACAGATGTGAGACTATCTGGTGACCTATTAAATACAACATCAATGTTATGTATTAATCTGTTAACTCACATCTTAAGCACAGCAGAGAGTTCCTCTTGCACTAGGCATCTATATCAAAGTGGTGGAAAATAAAGGTGGGTAGAAGAAGTTAATAGGTATTTCGGAAGAGGAACCATATAAGCTTTTTCAAGATTCAGATGAATTTTCTGCTGGTTTTATAATATCATTACCATTAAAATAATATATGTATATATATATATATATATATATATATATATATATATATATATATATATATATATATATATATATATATACACATATATATATTAAAAGAAAATTATCCAAAACCATAACATAAGAAATATAACCAATATATGGTATCAATTAAAAATACTGTATTACTTGGTAGCTAGATGTTTTGCCATAATCAAAACAATAATAAATAATCAGATTTTCCAGGTAGTGTAATTAGAATGTACTATCAGAAATTTATTTTCTTCTTATTCTGTGCTTTAAATGTATGTTAGACAATAAAAGAAAGCAAAATGTTTGTTTATAAATGTTTGTATTTATAAACAAACATTTTTCTCTTAATTAATAAAATATTAATTTTTATATTTTTAAGCTATTAATTATTGCTCAAAGAGATAATTTTAAATGTGATATTAAACAACATTTTATCTTTGAAAAAAATAGTCTTAAAATATGCTGTTGTTTTTTTTCTAACACTACTGCATTGAATTTTTAATAAAACTAGAATTAGAGATGATCCAGAAATAGAAATTGTAATTGTAGATTAAAGAAATATTTTATAAAAACAATTAAACCTTTTATTGAATATTTTTGAATGATTTTTATCTTAAATGTTGTAATTAGAAAATCGTTGACGTTTTCAAAAATTTATAAGTTGTGTAAAAATGTAAAAAAGATGATACATTTTTCGTTAACACATTTCTTGCAACCCATTGAAGAGATTTCTGAAACATTTCAACTAAATAATGAAAACAACTAAAATTAATCATTCCACCATGCTAATTGGTTTTATTCGATTAAATGTTCATCCACCAAGTTGTGAAGAAATATCTTTAATGATATATGAATTCTTCATAAAAACTAACAAATATTTAACTTTCATTTTAGAAGTAACTCATTAAGTTGCTAAAAACCATCTTTTCAAAAAAATGAACAAAAATATTTTACATTTTATTTTTTTTTGGTTAATGTTTCATATAACTCCTCTCATTTTAGACTACTTACATCTCTTCTTAATTTGTGCTATGATGTATTGTATCAGTTAAATTCTTAATATTATTTACAAAATTGTCTACTTATTTCTTTAAAAACAAATAAATAATTTAAAAAACAATAGAACAAAATAGGAAACACATATGTATATAATAAAATAGTACATTTAAGATATTTACAGTTATCTCAGAATTAATTTTGCTATCAAAAAACTCAATAAAAGTTCATATTTAATTATTAGTTTCATTTGAAAGACACTTTAATTATTTATATAAGGAAATAGAAATTATTATATCACCTTTAATTAATGAGTAAACTATTCCATCTAATATCTAAATTTCACAATTTAATATTTACATAGTTATTAAATGTGCTTGGTGTGTATCTTTTTGTTTTGTTTTAAGATTTATTTTTGATTACCATAAAATAATTCCACCAATAAATCAAGTGAGCAAATAATCAATAATTTAATGACATAAACTGCTTTTACACAGATTATCAATTTTAATATTAAACTTATATAAAATTTATTTAAATTAGTGGTTCCCAATGGTAAATATAGCCTTTTTGGAGGAGTACAAAGGAAAAATAAAATTTGAATGGCGACTATGTAGTTCAGTGGTGGTTGTGAATACAGTCTTGTACAACAATACTTTCTCACATAGTATTGAAAGACCCTTCATGGGTTGCATTGTACAGGTTATTAAACCAGTATGTTTGCAGTTAGAAAAACTAGCAGTTTTTTTTTTAGATAGAAAATATCACATTTTAATCCTAGTGGCTCTAATAATTATAATAACAATAAAATATCTCTTTTATGTCTGGAGAATGTTGTATATTATTTTAAACATACATTTTGCTTACTCTTAACCATGTTATATGTAGGTTACACCAGCTCATAGACATGAAAGTAAAAATTATAGGAACTACATTACTAGACAGACATATATCACTACTGTCAGGGCAAAAGGTTGTATTTTCCATTTTTATTCTATTTGTATTAAAGGTGACATATTGTAGTCTACAACTGATATAAGTAGTTTGCTACTATGAAAAATAGTTAAGGGGAATAAAATTTAAAATATGAAATTATACTAATAAATCATAAAAAAATAAAAAAAATAATCAGTTTTTGTGCTCTCCTGTGAAGAAAACTCAATTTTTACATACAACCTTTTACACTAACAGAAGGGATATGTGATTATAACTGTATATTAAAAGTTAAAATCCTGCTTTTTGATATAAACCGTGGGATTCTAAGAGGTTTATCTTACGTGGCTTTAATAGTTTTATTTAGCTATAGGATTTTACATGCCTAACAAAGATTGTAAAAGTTTGAGAACCACTGTTTTAAATAAATCGTTTGTGATAAAAACTAAAGCAATAATACTGCAAGGTAAATACTAAAACACTTTTAAAATGATACAATAATTATTGCATTAATTCAGCGATTCTGATGAAAGATTTGCTGGAATTGTCCTGTGTTTGTAGTTTGAATTCCTGCTGAACTGTGGTGATGATACCGTGCTTAAAGGCACTTCATCGATCCTACCGAGATCATTGGCTGCACCGGCTGAGTTCTGTTTGAACAACCGGACTGCTTTACTTTCTGATGCTTCTTCTTTGTCCATACTAAACTGACGCTTTAAGAACCTCAAACTTTTCATTGAATGGGTGCTGTCATTGGGTGAGAGACATTTATACTGGTTATATTGAGAGCTCAAATCGTTTTCATCTATTATTTTCTTTAACTTAGGACTTAAATTTTGAGTGCTCCGACTTGGCTTAATAAAAGACACCCCTCGATCAACACTTATTTCCGAAACAGAAAATGGTGTTAACAAACTTGATCTTGAGCTACCTGATTCAATACTCTTTAAATCAGACATTTTCTTCTGCTCAGATTTTGTATCATCATTGGCATCAAACGTCATCTGCCTCTGTGCCCTCCACCTATGGCTTTCTTTCTTCTCTTCCCCACTCGCTGCCAGAAGACCAGCATCCAAAGATAGCTGATAAACAGGTTTTGGTCTGGCAAGTCCATGAGGTTTGCTGATCTGGTTTGTAATATCTTTTGGAAGATCCATTGATATGTCTTCTTCACTCTCTGGTTTTTCAGCCACTATCCCAGTTCTGCCAGTCAAGACAAGTTGTTCATCCAACCTGTTTGAAACATATGTATATTTTTATATAATATTTATTTCATGATTTTTAAAAATAAATTGTAAGTGTATATATTGCACATAAAATCTAAAAAAAAATTTAAATTTTGTCAGGATTAATTGCTATTTTGAAAAAATTCTATATTAAAGTTAATCATTAAATACATTTTATATTCAATTTAGTAAAGTTCAACCTTAAATCTTTTCAAAAACCAACAATAACAAAACAAATTAATGTTTTCCATGAAATTATTAATGAACTTTTTTCTTATGAAGTTATTTTTTTTTCTGTAAATATTTTTTATGTTTCGAAGCCGATTTTCTTGTATTTTTTCCATAGGTAGTAAAATTTAATTTAATTTAACCAAAAATGCTAAATGAAAAATGGCAATTCAAATGGAACCAATCTACAAACAATCGCAAGAAATTAAAAAAGATATCCAACCATGGACAACCTCTTTCAGAAAGAACAGATCAGAGGAAATAACTTTAACTCGACATAGAATAGGACATGCAGCCTTTACCCATGAATACCTAATGAGAGGCCAGGAACCCTCGTTTTATGAAACATGCAACACATCACTTACACTAAAACTTGCAGACTATACTCTGACACCAGAACAAAACATAATATACCTTCCAGCATATCAGACGCACTTGCAGATAACAAAGAGAAGATACAAAAAGTACTTGAATTCATAAAAGACATTAAATTTGTCCACCTAATTTAAGTCCACCTAAAGCCGCTAATGACCCGATAAATGAATGTAACAATAAATGAATAAAAAATAAAAATCTAAATAAAAATCAATTAAATAAAAAATAATAATAGTTATGTTTATTGATCCTAACTTCTTTTTCCTTGAGGAAGAGTTTTTTTGAGGAACTGAAACTATCAGCATTTGTTAGAAAAATTAAATAATTAGAGATAAGTATTTAAAATCATAATTAACCAGCTACACTTTATTTTTCAAGTAATGTTACTTGGATCCTCAGAAAAAAGTTTTAAATTAAAAACATTTATAATATTTTATAATTTGATGCACTGATGCATGCCCTGATGCACTTTACTATATTTATGTTATTTTATTCGAGTCCAATTAACTTCAAATCAAGCTACGTTTCTTAAAATGTAGGAAAATCTGATCTACTGGACTATTCTCTTAAACCATTTTTGTTATTAAAAGTTAATATAGTAACTCAATCTCTATGGGCAGATCCATCCTGCTAGCAAATTTAGTTTCTGCTCATAGCATCCTGTTATTGTCCATTATAACTGTACCACCGGGGGAAGGGGAGAGGGGAGGGAGTAGCATGTGTTCCAAAATTTAACTTGAAATAAATTAAAATGTTAAAAGAAGATAAGCTAAAATCGGAAAATAGTAAGAATTGATAAAAATAAAGTCGATTTTTAATTACTTTTTCAAAATGAAACTAAAGTTTAAAATTAACTATTAAAATCAATAATAATCAAGGCCAAGGATCTCCAAACTAGGACGGGTCCGGCAGCACCTCCAATCTGGCTCGCGAAAGCTTCTTTAATTACATGGTAACATATTAAAAACTATTTAGAAATATAAAATTTAGTAAATCACTCCAACACGAGATTATTACACTTCTTGCATGAGTTGTTTCACTTATAATGCTCATATCACAACTGAAGTGTCAATTATGGAACACACTTCTTTTTTTTTCACAACAATACATGGCCGGCGGCACTAATTGGAGAATCTAATGCGGCCTGTGGGACTTGGTGATGGTCTCAATGTGGCCCAAGGGCCAAAACATTGAGACCATCACCAACATTGGGCCTGATCTAGTTGGGAAATCTGAAGTAGCGTGGGGAACCTGGCGTAGGCCTCCAAGACGTAGCTGCAGCACAATAGGAATTTCTTCACGATTTTTATTAATCTAGTTTTAGAATTAATTAACATTTAATTATTTAAGTTGCTAAAATTTGAAAATTAATAGAATTAATTTGAATATATATTTATGAGTGTGTGTATTTAGTGATAAATAAAAACATCAATAGTAAAATATAAAGAATTGTTGCAGCCTCCATCAGTACTGCCTAACCTTACTGTGCCTTCCAATGATACAAAGATTCCTCACTCATGATCTTGGCTATTTGTGCCCTTCTCCCTCCTCTCCACCTCCTCAAAAGTTAGAAGGAGGCTAAACCTAAGTTCCACATATCCTTTATTAATATATAACTTATTTCAAAAGAACAGAACCACAAGTTAAAATTATTTACTAACACATATCTCATTGGGGATCATATCAATTTACTAAAAAAACTGATCAGAATGAGTATGTTGAGGACCTATTTTGATTTTTGGAAATGAGCTACAAGACTTGAAAACACAACCTAACTACCCACTCATACATATTTTAATATAATATATGTTTCATGATTTGATTTGTTTAATTATAATCTTCAAAACTATAAGTTCATATTCTTAATTTCCTATCAATTTCTGATAGTCTTTAGAGAATCATGCTTTTGTGTATGATTTTAGAAGCAATAATAAAAGAACTCCATGACTGTTATTGGACTGCTGCTAATGGAAAAAATGTTTAATAATACAAAAAAGTTGTAATATATGAATTATTTAATGTTTAGTTTTAAATTCATTTAGTTATATTCAAGATGTCTTACCCATGACTCTCCCTTTATGCATTAAAGGAAAAAAAAAAATTAGTTACTAATGAATCAAAAGAACTATGCTTTTACATCAACATAGCATGAATTAAAGAACCTAATAGGTGGAGGTGTTGGCAACTGCTTATCAAATCCCACTTTGCCAAGAAGCCAATAAGTCATTACTTTTCCTTTCCCTTTCAGTTCTGTCTGTCCTCGGCATTCAATGTGGTAACCACCTGATTCCTCCAGCTTATTCTTTGTTGCATCAGATATATGAATCCTCCATGCAGATCCTGTTATGGAATTAAATTGTCATTTTTATGGTTTCTATTAATGTTTTGCAAGCATTAATTTCATAATTACCTGATGATTCCATCCTGGAAGCTGTGTTTACCGTATCACCAAACAAACAGTACCTTGGCATAGTTAAGCCTACTACGCCAGCACAACATGGTCCTATCGAGATATGAATATAATAATAATATTAGATATTTGAAATCCTATGATTGAAAGATATATATATATATATATATATATATATATATATATATATATATATATATATATATATATATATATATAAATATATATTGAATGAAAGATATATAGATATTGAATGAAAGATATATGATTTAATTTTGTGCTGATTGGAAACTTGATATTGAAAAAAATATATATCAAAATAATTTTATTATTACAACATAAAAACAAAATAATTTTCTTTTTATTGACACAATTGATTTTAATTTCTCAAATATGTATATATATATTAGTTAACTTGTAGCTTAATGGCCATTAGAGTACTTAAGAACTCTTACTAGCCAATTGACAACAAATTAGAAATCGCTTAATAATAATGTTTAACAATGAACAGGTCGATCTTAATGCTTAAAATATTAATTAATTTAGAGGGTGGAATGGTCAAAAGATATGTGTAACTTGAAACTCCTATTTTAAAATTAGGTTAAAAGATTGTTTTTATCAGTTGTTTGTGATAGTTTGAGGACTCATTGACCTAACCTCCTTAAATCAACTTCTTGAATTACTGTCAACAAAAATAATACCCAATATAATAAATGAATAAGATTATTTGAAAGATTAGTGGAATTTCAAAGACAGAATTAATAAAATTACAAACAAAATTTTAAAGTTACAAACCAGTATGGAGCCCTATCCTCAGTCTCAATGGTGTAAATGGTAAGTGACGTATCCTGAACTTGCCACTTTGGTGCAGTAAATCCAAGGCCATAGTGGCAATCTGTTGGGCATGGTCAGGCGTACGAATCGGAAGACCTCCCACAACCATATAAGCATCACCTATTGTTTCAACCTTAAACAGAATATCTGTTAGTTACATCATAACCGGCAAACACTGTTTGACTATGCTTTGTCAAATAAAGTAATAATACCTTATATACATTGTAAGCATTTATTGTGGCATCAAAGCAGGTATAGAGGTCATTCAGCAGATCAACGACTTCAAATGGAGTCGAATAAGCAGATATTGTTGTAAAACCAACAATGTCTGAAAAATATATTGTCACCTCACTAAATTCCTCTGGATCTACTGGCATTCCAAGCTTCAACTTGTCTGCTACATAACTGAAATAGTAATGAAGATTCTTAGGACCTAATTAGTGATTTAGTGGTAAACTTTTGTATAGGCATATCCTATAGGTTAATTAGGTTATTAATAGGCATATCCTATAGGTCAATGCTTATTTTTATACCTATTTCCTAAACTGTTTTCTTTCATACGGAACTCTTTATGAATGAATGCGTTGTATTTATAATTACCCTTTTTGAATTAAATTTTGAGCCTTTTCATTTTTGGAATATTTATGTTGAATTTTGAATGTTGAATGGAATATCATTTATGTTGATAATATTATGTTTTGCACTGAGAGTCAAACCCAGGACAAATAGGATAATTGTACAAAAGTGGTTTCTTAAAAAAATTCATTTTTGATAACTAAAATTAATTACAATACATAACAACTGTGGAAATAAAAATTATTTCACACAAAGCTTTATTTAGAGATTTAAACTTTTTAAAAAATAAAAGACATTAGTATTTACTATAAAACTATTTTTTTTTCTAACTTTACTTGGTATACCTTGGTAACATCCTGTTCAAAAGTTGTTCAGTTTTCTTCTTTTCCATGTCCAACTGCTCAGTTCTCTCACGAATCAGATCTTCCAGATTGTTAGAATACTTCTCAAGCATTTGAAACATTGTGTCCACAAAGTTAGCTTTCCTTGAAAATCATTAAATTTTATAAAATTAATGTAATGTAGTAATCTATAAAATGTATGGGCTAGTTACAAAAGTAACTCAAGATTTAATGTTAGGTTCAGCCTAACTCATTACAGAACAAAACTCCAACTATTTTGGGACAAAGCAATGTATTGCCGAATCTCATTTAGTCATTGATCATATAAGTTCTGGGCTCATTTTAATCCACAACTCATCTTACCCTGAAATTAATTTAATCTGAGAATGAGAGATTGATCTCTATATACTATTATGATTATTAATTATAACAGAGCACCACATTTATTAAAACAACAAACCCAATGAATCTAAAACTTTTTGACATGAATTAAAAAGTACTGAAGTGTAGTAACGAATCTTTATCCTTTTCTAGGTAAATAAATTTGACTGAATATAACTGTCAAACAAATAAATTATTTATGTTAAAATTTATTTTTTTAGAAAAATATTCAATGGCTTGTAAAAAGTTTTCATTCTTAATTAACGGCACAAATTATTAGGATAAAATATTTTGAAAACTTTTGGTAAAGCCTTGTAATGGGATAGTCTCATATTGAAGAAAAACTAATTAGAGGATTGAAATAAAAATATAAGTTGTGCATAGATCAGTTTCAAATAAAACTTATTTCGTTTTGATCTCTTATAAAAATATACATTCAATTTAAGAAATTTTAGCTAGATTACCTGCCATGGTTCAATGTTTTAAATAAGTCATGAATGGTGTTGAAATCAGGCCTCATTTCAGGAGCCTCAGCCCAGCATTGCCTCATTATGTTGATTGCTTCTGGAGGTGCTGCCCCCTTACTTACAGATGGTCTTATTAGTGGAGGTGGTTTCCGAATTTTTTCAAGAATTTCTGAAGTAAACAGAAAAATACGTGTTAATAATAATGATTATAAAAATTACTAAAAATGATTGTATTTTCGTTAAAATTGTAATTTAAACAGTATTAATTTCCCTATTTTTGTGTATAAATGTACCCAAGATGATTTTTAATAATTAAAACAGGAGTATTTAACTACTGACAGTTCTATCAAATACACTGACAGGCAAAAAATTCCACCCACTTGATTTTTTCATGTTTTCATCTAAAAATATTTCTGCTTTGGACTGGTCTATTGTTTTTAATGAATAAATAGGTAATCTTTTTATTTGTTTTCAATTAGGAATGTTAATATAGAGGACAATAACCCTTAATCCTTAATTCAATGAAATGATTCTAGATTCCAATGTTTGCTTTCTATGGAATCAAAATGATTATTCAGTATCATTAGTTCAGTGCCGTTTCTTGCAGCACATTTCTTAGTCTCCAGCTTTAAATTTTTTCAATATTAAGTTTAAAAATGTCTCTTAGTGCTGAGGATGTTGCGCGTGGTGTGGCACTTATTGATGATGGACGTTCCATTAGATATGCAGCTAATGCCATTGGAGTTCCATATGAAACTTTACGAGACACGTACGAGACGCTTTATGATTATTAAAGGCAAAAAAGATTATAAAATTCCATAAATACTAAGTATTATCTACAAATACCATGTATTATATACAAATACAACTTTTTTTACAAGTGGCAGAAATATTTTTAGATGAAAACATGAAAAAATAAAGTGGATGGAATTTTTTGCCTGTCAGTATATATTAGGGGTAAATTGTTAAAAAAAATTGAAATCTGCTAAAAAAAGTATTATATAAGTAAAAAATTTTGTATTGAAACTTACCATCTGCAGGAAGGGACAACATACAATATGGCTCTCCCCTCACTACAACTTCTTGCATCACAATACCGAAACTATATACATCACCAGCTTGTGTTCCCATTTTTCTTAGGCTTGAATCCCTAAGAAACTCAGGTGCGGACCAAAGTAGATCTTAAAAAAAAATTGTATTTATAAATCAATTAATTTAATTTCATATTAATATTTCATTCATATCAATGAATTTATTATACCTTTGGGCTTCTTATTCGGAGGGACTATATTTTGACCTTCATATAGAAACGGCAGTCCATAATCTGTTATTTTTAAGACCCACCTGGCATCAATGACACAGTTTCTCGATGTCAGATTTCCATGAACTTTAATAGGGGAAGAATGAAGGTATTTCATTCCCTGGAACATGGTTCAAATTATTTTTTTTTGTTTTTATGTATATGCTCATGAACTGGAAGTGTTATATGAATTTATTATGAAAATGTTAAATTTTATAAATTTAATGCCATTGGTTAGTAGAAGGACAAAGATAAATATGAACATATAAATATATACTTTATATGATATATTTCCAAATTTAAATTGTATAAAATTCAAGTAAGTGAAATGTGTTTACACTTACCCGTACAAGGTCGGTGAGAAGAGACAATCTGAATGACCAATCCAGTTTTATTTCATCAGCCATGAGTACATCCTCCAGAGATCCTCTGCTACAATATTCCCAGACCAAATAAGGATGTGCTGGATCGCAAAGGCAACCGAGCATTGGATTCAGGTTTTCATGCCTCAAACTGTGCATCTATAACATTTTATTGCTCATAATATGGTTCCTATCATATATTGTTAAACAATTAGGCAGAATTTTTATTTTTATAAAGTTAGACTATCTGCTTATTCTACTCATTAGACTAAATTGATGATTTTGATCAAATTTCTTGATAATAATTATTATTAGTTTTGTTGAAAAAATTATGTATTTTTTTAAAACTAATTTACGTATCTCCAAATTTTACAATTTGCTGATATCTGATATGATGGTATATGATTGTGTATATTTTAAGTCTGAAGCATTAAGCATTATATATCTTTTTTTTTTTTTATCTTCAAATCTCTATCCACACCTGTCATGAAATTGACAATAAACAGATCTTTTGTTATGTTAGAAAATGGCATTAAAGGCATGAGGAAGAATAGTACCCAACAACAACTCTTCCCTGGTCTTTGTATCCTTCCATAAATCAGGATCTTATCTTATGAGAATGTCAGCCATGGCCCATTTATAAGGCTGTGTCTTTGTAGGAGTAAAGAGTACATATGTGTTAGTCAATAGTTGGTTGTCTTAAGTCAGTATGTAAAGCTTTGTTGTTTACATACTAGAGGGCTACTGTTATCAGCCTTAAAATTTTGGATTGCAAAGATTGTAGTTTTTGTAAGTGATTATTTTTGTTGAATCTGTGAGATGAATGTCCAAATTTTTGTAAGTAGTATGTGTATATAATTAGTTTTTGCCTCATTTTCAGTTTTGATTTGCAAAAATATGAGTATAGTATTTTCAGTCGCTTGTTTAAAATGTTTTGTTTTATTTTAACATGTGAGCAAATAAGAAAATATAAGACAATTTTCATATGCTGCATTAGCATATTTTTTTCTTTAATTCTTGTTTCACCTTAGTATTCCTCTTGTTTTTTATAATCATAAGAATATTCAGATACTGATTTTGGATCTAAGTCACTGCTGTAATGTTACAGTATGTTAGCTTATTCTAGTAAGTTAGTGAAAATTAAATAAATTAAAGGTACAGTTTTGGATTGAAGCCTCCTCCTAAAATTAAATATATTTTTTATTGGTTCATATTTGTTTCAGTGATTGGTCTAAGCTAAATACTTAAAAAATCATAATTGGTTCTCTTCTTGAACATATTCCAGTGTTCTTTATTTTTTTTAATAGGCCTGTTAGTTGCAATACTTCAGCAACTACTTCAGATTCCAATACCAAACATCATTTCATATACTTCTTTGTTTTTTCTTCGAGTGTAATTACTGATAAAAAACTAAGATACTATCAAAATTAAATTCTGAGCTTGTTCATATCTTTTTTTCATATCAAAATCTGCTGTTTTCGGATTTCTGGTAGCTTGCCAGTTCAAAGAATCATATCAGTTTACTGATCTAGGTCGGCTTCCCAGGGAAGGTGAGCTTCTGTTATAATGTGAAGTTATATATATTTCTGATAATAGTTTAAAATATCCTAAACTGGGGAGTCATAAAACCACCGCTCTGCACTTAGTAGTTTTTTGGTGATAATTTATATCAAAATAAGTTACATCTCTACACTAATTATCACACATTCCATTATTATATATATATATATATTTGCACACCACAAGGCTCATGTTTTTCACCAACCTTATAGAATGTACTAATAAACTCAATCTTTGACATAAAAATTCCTGACAATATAAACATATTTTTGTATGTTGATGATGTTTTAATATTTGTAACAAGCTCTTCACTCAACTACAAGTACTGATTAACCATACACTAACACTTATGGGAAAATCGTCTGAACGAAATAAACTACAATTTAACTTAAACAAGACCACCTAATTGTGCTAAGCAGAAAACTAAATTGTCCACAACTTAATATTAAGCTAAATTCTAAAACACTATCAAATACAGACACCATGACTTATTTAGGAGTAACATTTGAAACTTAGCTGGAAGACTCATATAGACACAGTAGCAAACAGGACACTAAAAACAATCTAACAATTGCTGCCAGGCAAATGTGGGAACTGAAAGCAGTAGCTCTAAGAATTATATATGAAGGTGCAACTTCCTAAACTTCTTTACACTGTACCTGCCTGGGAATCAGGAACAAGTTAACCTTAAAAAATTAGAAAGGTTGCAAAGAATAGTTGGAATAAAAACTAGCAGAGCCTTCCACACAATATCGTATGATGCTGCCTGCGTTCTTTCCGGACTACATCTTAAGACAAACAGAGCAGTTTGGTAAATCCTGTAACATATAAACTAACAACAAAATATTAATTGACTATTTAAAAAACTTCAAAATCCACAACTTACTGACTGTACAAATCAGGCAAAATCTAATAAGGATTATGGATAAAGTCATAAAAGTGTCAGTTCAATAGATCATAGGTCACAGCGGAATTTCCGGCAACAAATGAGCTGACACCCTAGCCAAATCAGCTGCTAATGACAACCACTTAACAATCGACTACAGCTAAATGTCTGTTTCTTACATTAAAAAATCCATTGGAAGACTCCTCCTCAAATACATATCTCATATCACAGTACAAAACTATAACAAAATAAAAAGTACCCATTACAAGCAGACACCATTTCTGACAGAGCAGGGATCTTCTAAGAATTACAAGATTTCATTTGAAAACACAGATTCATATAACTGTGATGGACAAACTCCTCAAACATTCAAACACATACTCTACGACTACAATTTATACAAGCACCCAAGATACAACCTGATAAAAATCTGTGTAACGCAAGGACACACATGGCCACTTTCAGAGGACAAAATATAAAATTGTTATAAAATATTGAACTTTATTTCCAAAATAGTCCTAAAATTAAATCCAAACCCGAATCATAGAACTGACTGAAGCTATACACTTTGTTAAATGTTTATTATATATATATCTTGTATTTTATTATCCTGATTAACGTTTATTTATTTCAACTTTATATATTGCCATTGTTTGTTAAATGTTTATTTGTAAATATTTTTTTTCTTTTTGTATTTTTATCAATTTAATTACTTATTTTTCATCATTATCTTCTGTTATTTTATTTATATTTATTTACAACTTATATTTATATTTATATTTATTTATTTTAATGCTGTTATATCAGTTTTAAATATTTCTTTACACATATCTAGTATATTTACTATTTTTTATGTTGTTCAAACTATTATTGGGCTTGTTCACTTAATTTTATTGTTCAATGTTTAGTTTAAATAAAATTTCTTATGATTGTAAGTTAACTTCATTTAATTTAGAAGAATGTTAATTCCATCATTCAATTCTGACACAAATTTATGTGTCAATTTTAATTGTTCTAAAAATAATTTTAATTGTTCTTTATACCTTAAATCATTTAACTCTATTTAATATATATTTATAATTTATAAAAAAAATATTATATTTGTGTAAACCAGTATTTTAGCTTTAATTCAATTTTTTTTTTTGTTTTTTTGCTTTTTATTTTCTCACTTTATGGGTTTTCTTTGATTTTAATAAAAAAAAAAAAAAAAAAAAAAAAAAAAAATGCAATAGCATGAATAAAATGTAAGTGTAACATTCATATATATAACATGTAAATGTGTATGTAAACTTCTACAAATAAACTCCTCCTGCAAAGGGTTATTATGTAAGAGAAAAAAAAATATATATTAATAAATATAATTTTGTCATTAAAAAAAAAGTATAATTACTGCCATAAGATAATCCATTGACTTTGACTTCAATTCAAAGTTTCCACTTGTGTCAGGTATGGGCTTTAGTTGAACCAGATCTCCCTGAAAATCATCAATTAAAAAAATAAATAAATAAGGATTGAGGCAATTTTAAATATGTTTACCAATTTAAAAGTAATAGAAAATGAAAATACATAATTTCTTTATCAAAAATATTTAAATTACTGAAAGCTAAAGGTAGAGGTCTTTCAGTTTTATTGTTTATAAGTATCAATCACATAAAATAAATTACTATGGACTAATATGTGTAAAGCTGAACCAAATAATAATATTATTCAAGTGAAAGAATATTCAAAAGACAATTTGGAGAAAATGATTTAGAAACTGTGTAATGTAATATGTAAAATGTGTAGATCAATGCATAATGAACATATATAAATATCCAGTTTCTTCATTTGGCTTGATTTAAGATACTTAAGATGATATTAAATTCTGATGTTAACATCCAATTGAATTTTATGTTATTATATGTTTAAAACACGAATACTTAAATGGATGAGATAATTTAAAAACACTAAGCTTGCAAGTGAATGAGTTGTGTAAAACAAAATTTTATTTTACACAACTCTTCAAAAAACTACATGCGTTTAGTATTGATATATATTATTATTATTTCTTTTTTTTTTTTTTTTGTCTTCCCATTTCTTCCCTTAAAGGTTAATGGGGAGGGGAGGAAGAGAGGGGGAGGGAGGTGCCATAGAATAATGCTTTAGAATGTGTAAATAATATTTTATAAATCTAATACTGATTGCACAATGCCCTTACTCCCTAAGTAACCCGTAGCCCTAAAAAAAAAAAGATTTACTTTAAATTATTTGGAGCAACAACTGGTTTATTTATTTTAAATGTAAATTTTACGACCAGATACACTTATAGATACAGATCAATTCGTATAATATAGATCTGGTTAAAAAACAGTTTCTTAACCACTTTACCTGAAAAATTATTGTTTTCATTTTTAGTTTTATATATTAAAAATGTATTTAGACAATTATGTTTATTAAATGCATACAAGATCATGGAAAAACATGAAATAAAAGCTTTTGAACAATTAATTGTAGTCATTGTTGCTGAAAACAGGGATAATTTTAGAGGATAGGATACAAAATTATTATTATATATGTAATTGGTAGTCATAGGTGCAGACTTTCGATTTTGCTTAGGGGAGCACAAAGAAAAATTGTGGATTTTTTTTTTATGTGTATTCTTGTGTAATGAACCAATATAATGTTCACTATTTAAAATTAATTTGTTTATATGTTTGTATAGTTGTTAGGATTTCGGTTATTTTATTTTTGTTTTACTTAATATTTATACTTGAAATATCTAAAAAAAAAAAATGTAATTGAAAATATAATCCCCCTCCCACCTCCCTCTCTCACTCTTCCACTCCTGTTTGTAATAATATTATTCAATCTTTTTTTTGAAACCTCCCTGTTAATTAATCACAAAAGGTTGAAGTTTTTCTGTCATAAATTATTTTCTGAAAGTTTTTACTTGGAATTGTTTTTATGTAGTAAACCCTATATTTAGTGAGAATTTTATGGATAGTGAATAAGTTTGATTTGAGGTGTCTGGTTTGGATTCTTTGAAAAATAGCCCTATAATTATGATAAAAATGACCATAATTCACGAATTTTTGTTTGATTTGACTGATCCCAATTTAAAGGCAATAATTTCAGATTTTTTATTTATTAACCAGCAATATAATAATCTGTCACGTGGACAATAATTATAGTGAGATATGAACACATTCATACCATATATATAGAAAACATAAAATTAACAAAAGTAAAATAATAACTAAATAAGAATCAAAAACTATATTCAATAAAAAATAAAATAACATAAAGATAAATAAATTAAAAACAGTCAGACCTATATACAATATATACAATCAGACAGGGAACCCCAAGGCTGGTTTATCCCTTCAACTATAGACGGAAAAGCAGGACTCCAAGAGATTCCTGCGCTACTCTTTCAACAGCGTCACTGGTGCTAAAGCCAGTGGAGATTGAGTGAGGCTGCTTTAGCCACATACACTCATATCTTGAGCAGAGAATCTGGCAAATGCCAGAACTCCAAGATACATACTACAAGAGGTCTCTGAGCCAGTGCTGCTTCAACCTTCGAGTAGGATTATAGAGATGAGTGGAACTAGATAGGGTTTGTACAAGGGAACTTGGATGATTTGTAAGGTTCTGATGGAATTTGGACAAAATTTAAGGGATACGGTCTAGTACAAATGGGATATTAAGATCATGACGTAGGATTTTGCTGGATACATAGGACAGAGCATCGACTATTGTTCCGAGAACTTTGAACTGAAAGAATCGGATTCATTTGATGTTAAAAAATTTTGCTGTCATCCAAAGTTCATGTCTGTAGGTTCAATTAGATTTTAGAATTTTCTTCTAGATCAATAATTTGATGTCAATTGAAAGTTGAGATTTTCTAGTCAGCAGTCTGTATAGTTCTTCCATATCGCCTGTTAAGTTCTTGTCTTTTAAGTCTAGTATGTGGGTCCCGCGTTAGTCTTCGGTCTAAGATAAAGCAAAGATACTGGACTGTGTCTGAAAAAGGAATCTGAATGAAATTAAAGAGGACTGGTTGATAGATTTGCTCCGGAGCTTAAGGTAGTGTGTTTACATTTAGATTCGTTTACTTTACTTATTTATTACACCAGTGCTCAATCGGTGTCTTTGCAGATTTAAGGATGCTATTTTGGGATCTGTGTTGTATGATTTGATGGCAGTGTCATCAGCAAATGTTACTAGGAATGTAAAAAGGATGTATTGAAATGCGTTTTTTATCAAATAAATAATCTACTTGTATAATAAATAAATAATCTACCTGTATAACTTATTATTATTGCTTTATAGCAATGCAATGCTCCTTATATTCTGTAAATTCTCACATTTTTTTCCACGGATAATAATATTAAAAAAAAAAAAAAAACTAGTTATAACGCTGTTGGTTAAAGCTGTAAATGGACTAAAAGATCTATAAAACCAAGGAAAAGAAGGAAATTAAGTTTCCTGGTACAAAGGAAATCGAATCCAATTTCTAAGTTTGTTTGATGTCAGCTACGTTAAACATTGCTCTAGAAAGATGTACTTTACTTATTTATTTCAGCCAACTTCCTTATTACTTAGTGGGCTCACCAATAAACTACTAAGATGTAGCGGAATATGTTATCATCCTGTTAATTACTCCACGCATCGATCAGCTAAGTTGAAAGGACAGGTGGCCTTCGCTGACCTGTCTGGGCCACCTGTCGCCTGTTCGTTGATGACCTAGGTCAGGTCAGCGGACTTATCGACTGTGAAGTTAACTGGAACAGGGACTGGAATGAGTCGGCTGAAACTAACCCAAATCCAAGTGGGTCGCACACACGAAAATAATTTTAAGAAACTAATATGTTCCTATCCGCTTTTCATTTGGTTAAATTTTATTGGCTAATTACAAATAATAAAAATTCAAAAATAAACAATATTTCTTACCTAATTAGCATTTCGGTAATCAAAATCCTATTTTAATAAATGTTCGAAAATACCACCATTGATTTCTAAACGTCTTCATCTTCGAAGGGCGGCAGGGTAGGTTACGGTGGTCCAATTAATTGATCTTCAAAATCTCCAGACCTTACACTACTGGATCATTATTTATGGGGATGATTCAATGATGAATTATACAAAGTAAAAGTAGATATTCAGGATGAACTAATTCAATTCAGTATTAAAAATATTGTAGACATCAAAGAAGACAAACAGGAGGGAAAATGTTTAGAATGGTGATAATCGAGTGAAGAGAAACTGACTATTTAAAATTTGTCCTTATTCAACTACCATTCGAAGTCGTCAGTTTTCAAAACGCAACCGAATACAATCAGTCAAGGCGAATTGTATTTTAGGAACCTATTCTATACATCATATCAAAATTTCAGCCCTCTGTTCTTCCGTTAAACGAAACATCAAATTTCGGCACTTTAAGTTAAATTTTCGTATAGAAAGCAACAGCTTTCAACCGACTAACGAGGTTGTTTGTTTAGAAGAGATTTATACAGAATTTAAAATGGTGGCTAGTTTTAAGTCCTTCAGTGAAAAGAAACGGTCGGTAGCTCCTAGGCTCCTGGTCTCTAAACCACTGCCTTGATTGCAATGTTATTTTCTATGACACTGAATTTACATTAATAAATAATATAAACAAATAATATAACAGAATATTATTTCTTTACTTCATCAAAAAAGTACCTCAGACTAATAGTACATCTTTTTACCTTTATAAATATGGTACTCACATTGTACCTTGCCTTCGGATCAGAGCTGACTTTGGATATACTCCCGAGGCTCGGGGACTTCTTCATGTTGGACTTCAAAGACCCCACGGAACCCTTGATGAGATCTTGCTTGTCCACCTCAGGGCCTCCCATCTCTTGCAGTTGGTACAGCCAGCAGCACAGCATCGCCTCGATCCCCTCCTCCACCTGTTCAGAGCAAGTAAAGTTATTTTTTTTTAAGTGACTATATAACTCATCCATCATATCTTAGAAGGAATGGGAAGTTATAAAAGTTTCCTTATTCCAACTTTTCTTGTTACCCCAGCCCGAAGATCAGGCACGCTAACTTTAATGATTTCTCCTCTATCAGCTACATATTTCAACTACCAAGGAATCTATAGTTTGGAACTTGGTGAAAAACCTTATTGAATACTGTGGAAATAGTTGAATGAAAACTTACAATTTATCTGGGCATTTACCGAGATTTATTTTCAGCTTATTTGATATATATATATATATATATATATATCAAATAAGTAAATAATATGTGTGTATATGTTAGTGTTAAAGGCCTTATGTAACAATTTTACATGCTTATTCTCTTTACCCTAAAGGTCTTATTCTCATTCTGTAGTCTGCAACTGCTATAGGTAGTCTGCTAAATAGGAAAATAGTAGACGGAAATAAAATAAGAAATAATACAAATAAATCATAAAGAAATAATCGATTTTATGCTCTTCTGTAAAAAAAACTTAAGTTTTATATATGACTTTTGCACTATCAGTAGCGATATGTATTTTATTATTTATATTATATATATATATATAAAATCCGAGTTTGTCATGATTTTTGTCATAAAGCGTCATGATGTTTGTTGAATAAGGATAACTAAACATCTAACGAACTATTTTATTTCAGTTTACAAGTTGGAGTGTTACCAATGAGTAGTTCCTCTACATGTTGTACATGCCATGTTATCAATTTCAAAGTTACTTGTTGTATTATTTCACTAATACAGTTGAAAATTTAAATAAATATATTAATAAATGACAATAAAGTTTAAATTAAGCAATTGTTAATTACTTCAATTAAAATTTTCATTAATTATCACTCATATTCAACAAAAAGAGGCAGGCCTAGACTCGTTGACTGTAAGGCATCGAAAATGATCTAAAGAGCCGGGTGTAGGCAGATGGAGAAGAACGGCCGAAGACAGGTCAATTTGGAGGTAGACAGTGGATACCTGACCTTCTTGAAAAACACAAAACTTGAACTTTATACTTTTCTTCAGAATATGTTAATGTGAGAAAATCAAAAACAATGTGAGGAAGCTATACTGAGCTTACTTGTCAGACGATTTTTAATTACTACTAAGAATTGGATACTCAATTACGGTAATTTATGCTATTTATTTGGCTTGATTTGATGACATGCTTGCTTCGGCCGAAACGTCAGAAAGCCTAAAAAACAACATAAATGACTGCGTGTCGTGATTATTTTCGTTATCTTAATTTTTTTTTTGGAAATTATTTTATTTTAGTTTTTAAGCTGTTATAAAAAAAAATCCCTGCATTCCACTCTCAATCTATTTTCTGCCACTTCCTGACAGTCTTGAAATTGGAAACGGGACCAAGAAGAGAAAAATATGTAAACTTTTTTCAAAAATCCTAATACGTTTAAATTATTAAAAACAGTTCAATTGCATATTAAAGAAAATGAGGCATTCTATTTTTAGAGCTAAGAATATTCATTTTTTAGGTTAATAACCCGTAATAGCGTTTTCCCTTCGGTAGTAACCACAAGCCGGAGCAGGCGGGATGTGTAGAGAATTACTGGGGCATTAGAAGCACAGTGGCTGCTTGCGGTATACCGCGCCCCAGATCTGCTTCTTATTGGCCCTACAGGCTTTGCTTAACTGTTTAATAGATTACATCAAAGCTTATTACTGAGCATGGTGGATGTAGAAGGGCTGTGTGCAGAGGAAGTATAAGACTCTTAGCGTGCATCGATTATACAAAGCCCGTTTAATATGGAGATTTGCATTATTAGTATTAGAATGATTTTTGGATGAAGTGGGTAAAGAATCCAATTCAACTAATAAAACTAAACAAGTTATATATAATAAGTTAGTCAAGTCTCGATTTAATAAATCTCACTTGATTTTTTCTTTAAAAAGTTAAGAGTCCATAATTTTTTTGTGGTTACTGTATGAAGAAGCTGAGGATGGTTAAAATTTGTCATGAACATTATAGTCATATTTACTTTTATAAAAAAAAAGGATTCCATACAACTACGATCACCATATTCCTTTACACACTGTGTACCAAGTTGGAACGGTTATATAGTGTTTAAGCAAAAATAATATTCCAACGTTATATATTTTATTATAAATATGAGAAATATTTAGGTGCCCGATTTTCACGCAAAGAAAAAAAAAATCATGAATATTAAAACCGTAGAAATACCAGACCAAACTATGTACATATGTTTGTGTATGTGTGTGTCAATTATCCCCAATAACAGAATCTGCGTAGAAGGATAATAATTTCCGAGAGTAGATAAATTCAAATACCTTGGCTCCATAATAACCTCGATGAATGACCAACAGGCAGAAATAGAACAGCGTGTAACGAGCGCAAACAGAGGTTTCTTCTTCTCTTTCGAAGATATTGAAATCCCGAAAAATCTCAAATTAAGGGTGTACAATGCTTTGATAAAGTCAGTTGTAATACATGGCTGTGGGGCCTGGACACTAACCAACACTCTAGAAAAAAGTATTGAAAGATTTGTAAGAAAATTGCTCCGAACAATAACCAGAGCGATCTGGGACCAGAGTACTAACACATGTAGAAGAAAGACCAATAAAGAACTGCTTACAGAAATTGGCCAATCAATATCCCATGATATGAAGGTTAAGTGGGTGGTACATATAACTAGTAGCAATCTGGAAGCCTCTACGTAACAATGAATACCTCAATAGAAATCAAAAGACCACGTGGAAGGTCAAAAAGCAGGTGGATAGATAAAACCAACAAAGAGATGCGTGCAGATACATGGAAAAAATGGCTCAAGATTTTAAATAATGACAATTATGATGAAAAAAAGACAGATAAAGAATGAGTTGTATGATTTTAAAGTCGTGGCGATGAATTTCAAGACAAAGAAATAATTTCAAATAACAAAAATAAAACAGAAAGTTTTTTTTAAACGTACGTTTTTGTCAGAAATATTGAAGAGTGATAAATGAACTCGTAATAGAAGTTGTTTTAATTCTTGAAATTCAGTACTTTGCAAATCTAATGTAAATAAATCAATATAGGCTTATGATAACTGAGAAATCTATACCGTTAATATCAAAACCGTTAATCTCCGAAACTCCCTCATCGATTGCTTTTAAATATTGACATAACGTTTCTATCGGATTCAGGAGTGTTCTTGTATACATTTAATTACCTCCTCCTCCACCTTTCGTTTCGGAAAGGCGGCTGAAAAACGTGTGTCACTATAGACTGTAAGGCTGTAACGATTTTAATTAAACTTGGATGAATTCTTCTCACTGAAACTCTTTTACTTTATGTATATAACATCCTTCCCATAAAAGAATATGAAAAAAAAATTACGATGGATTTTAAGCTATATTTGCAGATAACTCAAAAACTACACAATTTTACTCATAACTACAAAAAGGACACAATTTTTGATTTATTACACTCACGATTATTTGAAAGCTACCTGAATTCCCTATAAATAAAAAAAAATCACTAAAATCTGTCATTTTGGTGCAAAGATATAGTGTTTTAAACATTTAGTACTTTTTCTTAGGAGATTGATTGCGGATTGCTTCTCACATAGAAAATTATATGTTGTGTATTCTAGAGTTGGAAAACTAGACAATATCTGTATATATACAAAGAGTAGAATAACTAAAAATGTCGCACATCTACAAGTATTGTGAAACAAACTATATTAGAAACATATGCTTTCTTTTCTATTCAACCAGACTGAGTTACAGCACTGCATAGCGGGGTACAGGTACAGGAATAATGAGAACAAAGCTCACTGCAATTTATTGTTAATTTCTGAAGACTTCTAGCGAGATATAAATTTATAGTTAATTTACATATCATTCGTCAAACATTAAATCAAAGCTGAGCGGTATTCCGGAGTTGATATATGGAATAACGGAAGGTATTGACTCAAGGCAGCCAAGTTAAGATACACTGATTCGAGACCACACCCCGGATGCCTGGAGCCTCGCATACTCCGAGGGTCGGAAATCAGTTTCCCCTTGTCATCGAAATTCTACGGATGCCGGGGGAACCACACTCTCTTGATCGGCGGCATCGATGTCTCCCCTTCCTCTGCCCAAGGCGGTTACGAGGTCAGTGTGCCTGAAGACAATTATACCAATAACATTCCAGGGTCTTATATCGAATTTTTCGAACCCGGCATGGAAGGGGATGTAATTTCATATTGTGAAGCGACAGACAGATATCTTCGGTTTTTATTGCTAAAAGTCACTAAGTACTTCTTTCGTCTATTTAAACCTGAAGGTGTTAATGTCGATCATTTATCGATAAAATAACTCATTGAAGAGCATAAGAATAATAGAAATCCTTTTATATGCAAAAAAAATAAAAATAAATAAAATAAAAATAAAAATAGTTTCACTAAGTGCTAGATGTTTTTACTACATGGAGTAAAAAGTCATAAAGTTACTTAATGGAACTATTATTTTCTAAATAAAGTTAAATTGGAACGTTAAAAATCACTCTCTGGTACTTACTGAATTACTTCACTTGATTAATAGATTAGATGGTTAATAAAATTAAGTGAGGCAAGTCTATTTAACATTTTACATAATTTCAAGGTAATGTTAGCAAATAAGTGTTTTTTTTAAATTATGGGAGTATGCAAAAGTCACTATGTGCGTCGTGAAACCAAGAAATGAATTGTCTCATTATTATGTAGATGTTAAATTTTTTTTTAATTGTCGGAAACAGAATACATATTTAGGATTGTAAATTTTGAATGCTTCCAGTTAGTAGTTTCTCAAAAAGCGTTTTCATGTTATTATTCGGCTGGCAAATAAGTCCTATCGGTTTTTCAGGATAAAATAATACACAACATATTATAGACATAAAAGTTATTCTAATCTAAAATATATTGGCCATTATTTAAAATGACTTTTTCCCATTTTTCACTGA